AAAAAAAATAAAAATGAAAGTGATGGATAGAGCACTGGGAGAGGCTGCTGTGATGAGCGGAGTGTATGAGTGTGTTGGTGTTTAGGCTGACACACAGGTTAGTGACAAAGAACAATGAAACATCTGCACCAAGTGTGAGAGACACAGACGGGATTAAGGAGGAGGGAAAAGTGAGGGATCAACCTTTCGTTTAACTCTGATCCATCTCCTTTATTAACAGTAGCACCGCCGTTCCAACAGGGCTGACACATGTCTGGAGTCTCCCCTTATATTTAGCCTAAGTGTGTGTGTGTGTGTTTGTATGTGCGTGTCTCCAGAGTCATGACTATATATAGAGCTGGCATCAGGGTGTGGGCCTGGAAAAACAAAACACTGACGTCGAAGCAGCCCCAGGCTGACGTCGTGTGGACCTGAAGCCGCCGCAGTAGCCTGTTATTACAGTGTGTGTGTGTGTGTGTGTGTGTTTGATGGGGGTGCACCTCTGCAGGCAGGTGGAGAATGATCACTTTGGGGCTTTGGTGAGCGAGATGTTAATTTTGGCGCCTGTGTTTGTGTCTGAATTTGTGAACACACACACTCACACACACACGTAATCTCTGTTACCGTTATTTATGTACAGAGTCGGTGCATTACATGAGCCCGGCTGCGGGCTGGAGCCCGAAGAAGTCTGGTTTGTTGTCTGTCACCACCCCAGCTGTTTGGGTACAGTCGGAGCGCCAGGACAAATTCACCCGGCTCTACGGTATTTAGTCTATCTGGCAAAGCGACCTTCATACAAACTTTTATAGCATTCAGATTTGGTTGTGTATTGAGTCCTGGAGTCGCCAGTTACAGCTTTATTGCCTGTCAAAACACCCTTGAAGAACGTTTCAATGTTGAATTTATTGCTCTGTGGCCCCGTTTTAGCTTTTTAGAAACACGGCTGCAAAAAAAAGTTTGATAAAGAGCAGACTCAACGTGCCTTTTTCATTTCGACAAGTTATTAAATCACAAATTCACAAAATACATAACATGTTGAAGATGAAGCCCTGCATTCAAATAATTCTGTCTTCTGTAATCATCGCAGTACATGTTTAATTTATCTCATCCTTCACTATATTATTGTAAATTAAAAAAGTTAATCCACAGTGAAGCCTGAAGATATATTTGCAAATTAAGTCTAAGAAATTCTCACATTAACCAGTAAAAAGAAGTACCTGCATGTACTTTCTACTCACTTCATCTTCCCAGTAAGCCCACTAAGCACCGTCACTGCTACTGTACGAACTATTCTGCCTTCCCTCTCTCTCTTAGGTTAAGATGTCTGTTTATTTCTGTGGCTCCTGGTTTTTGGTTTTCCACAAAAGGAGATAGAAAACTGACTCCTGAAACCTCATAGCCTTTTCTCAAGGTTGCCCTTCCTTAAAAACGGCTTCATGACACCCACAATTCGACTGAGACCATTTCTGATGAGGCTTCAGTGAACAGTAGATGGATCAACTGAAGGTCCAGATGTGCCTGTCAGGTCCTGGATCAGGTTTTTACTGAAATTCTTCCTATTTCCTATAGTTCACCTGCTGTGGATAATTTATTTTAGGCCTGACACTTTTCAGTTTTGAGAAAACCCCCCAAAAATGTTTGGGGGGTTTGAATGTTTTGAATGTTTTTCTTTATAAAATAGCCAAAAATAACAAAACTCTTCTGTTAACTAATGTAATTAAGAATCTTTGCCTAGCTATATGCAAACCAATTATACTTACGTGCATACTTTCCCCTAAAGAGTCATTCTGAGCCAAGGAAAACCCCACACATCCCAGTATAATATTTACATTTACGTAATTGGGCTCTCGGTCTCTACTTTTTGCACTTGTGTAATGTTCAAGGTCATATTTATGCAAAAATACAGAACATTTTTCTTGCAATCGTATTCCATAATGTTTTCTAGGTTTACATTTACACTGTCTTAGAGAGGAATCGGTTAAGAGCAACTCCATGAAATGTGAGTGATTAGTCTCGAGTCACCACAGAACCACAATCACCGTACAACAACACTACTAAGAACTGTCACTTAGGTGAAGTCCTAATACTCTAAATTAAACAGATATTTTTCTAGTGGGTGTACTGCTAAAGCGTCAGCTTCACCTAGACAGTGATTAATGTCTTAACATAACAACTACAATCACTCTGATTAAAAAAAAACAAAAAAAACCCACAAACATAATGAACTGACAGTCCAAAGCATTTGACTCGAGTACTGCATTTGCTCGCACAATTATCCAGACTGTGTGAAAAATGGGTGGAATGAGCACGCATTCCCACAGAAGAACTTTTTTCATAGCAATAACACCTGCTTCTCTCCACTGCCTCCATCTGTTTTCGCATTAATGATATTTGCAGACGCTGTAACAGCTTCATCTGTCCGCGAGGCCCGTTCTCTCTCTAAACACAGACGCACTAATGAGGCGTCCATGCACCCAGTTACAGTTCGTCCTCTATGTCCAGTGTCCTTCACCGTTATTCGCAGAACCTTCTTTTTCCAATCTCCCAGAGGAAAAGATCCTGTTTAGCCATCATCGACTGAGACAGTGGGTGGAGCAGAGTGGAACAGAGCTGCAAAAGAATAAACGGTCTAAAGAAGGAGCGACCAGACATACCTGAGTTGTCGGAAAACTGCGGGACTTCCCAGTCCACCGCCGTCTCTGCGTTCGTGGCCTGGATCGCGGGCGGTGACCTGCACCTGTCGATGACCGGGGGCTCCGTATCTGGAGGCAGACAGAAAGTAAGTGCACAGACAGAGAAAACTTGTTAAAGTCACATTTCTGAACACCAGTCACTATAAATAGACTAAATCAGGCCGCAAACTCAATAATATTTAGGTACAAAGGCATTTATAGCAAACAAAGAGCTGAACAGATGATAAAGTCACGAGGAAAAAAAAACGTTGGGGAGCTAAGTGCGACTCTGTCATCTGACTTTCTCGATGCAGCAGCAGCAGAGAGTGTCAGAGGGCACGAGTTGAACACATGTCTCTAATAAAAAACCCACAACTTTCCACCAACATAATAACATATGGAAATGTTCACAGCTACCACGCTTGGGGTTTTTCCCCCCGACTGCAGTGATTACTGGGTGGCTGACATGGGACACCCCTGTTATTCACTCTCAACAGCAAACAGTGTTTGGCACCTGCTGGAGCAGAACTTACTGCTAAGTTAGTCAATTAAAATCTCTGAAAGTGTTTCACTGAAACAAACTGCAGTAATCCAGTAACAAACTGCCGGTAAAGTGTCCCCACTGAGAGGTGACAACTTTGGACCTTAAAAGACACTCACTGTCTTTACCCTTTTTGCAAACTACGTCCAACTGTATCAGCATATTTATCCACTAATTATCCATCCTTCTTCTTCCACTTATCTCACTCAGAGTCACCTGGGAACTTGAGCCTTTTCCAACTTTATGGAGTCACAACTTAGGGACCCTCTAATGCGTTTACTATCAGGTCATATGTCAGCCCGCCCACTTCATGTTGCAGGTAGTTATTTCGTCCATAATTGCTTGAAGTTGCCAATCATATTCACTTTTTATAGACAACCATTCACACCTACAGCACGACCAGTTTACAATCACCAGTTAAACTAACACGCATGTGTTTGGACTGCAGGAGGAAGCCGGAGTACCCGGAGACAATCCACACAAGCACGGAGCATGCAAACTCTGCTTACTAAAAGAGGGCACTTTTTATCATTTATTTGATTCTGTATAGGACAGGAACAGTTGTCCAAACACAACATAAACGCTGTGTGACCGAATTCTCTGCCCCCCCCACCCGCCCTCGCTCTCTGTAATCTGCCAGAGGCCACATGCAGCATCCATTGTTTGGTTTTATGTGGTCCCCAGAAAGATGAGCTCACCGATGACGGTGACTGTAAAGGAGCAGTTGGCCTGATTTCCAGAGAGGTCCGTAGCAAAGTATGTGATGGTTTCCTTTCCAATGGGGAAAAGCTGTGGAAGACTATAGACTGGCTTCGCCTGGACCACCACCTGGAGGAGTGAGAGACAACAAAATGTGAAGAAGAAGAGAGTCAAACTGCTTTCAAAGCAGGAAGCTGAATAAATTAGAAGAGATTTACTTTTGTGCAAATTAATTGAGAATTTCACAAAACAGCTATGTAATTTATCCTACCACATAAAGTAAACCACAGAATGTCACATGCCATGTATGCAGTAAATACTGTATTTTAGCTCATGCTTGTGCCCTCTTATCATTACAGGTTACAGGTTTATTGCGGATACAACAAACTTTTGATACCAAGGGCAGGAAACCATTACCCCACAATCATCAAGCTATTCTGGAATTAAGTGGCATCAAATTGACTGTTTTTTCTTAAATATCTAACCTCTTCTTTAGAGTTGTCCGTGGCATTTGGGACGTTCCAGCTGACGATGGCCGTGCCGCGGCGCTCAACTGTCCCTGCAACAATGTTGTCGGGGCACTGTAGCCACGGTGGCTCAGTATCTAACAAGACAGAGGGACAAAAAAGGTGGAGAAGAAGAAGAGAATGAAATTGGATTCAACTATTGCAGATGTTCCTTCATCATAACCCGCAGACATTGACCTCAACCTGCTCCTCATTATCGCTGATAGAGCAGGCGTGTGATGTCATATTGCCCTCAACAGCTTAAAACATAACAAGCCAGTTTGTCGTTGTTGATAAGCAAACAAAGAGAGAGTGAGACAGCACCACTGCTCGTGCTCCAGCAACACTAGACCTCGCTCTTAGATTGAGTCTGTGCAGTCCAAGTGAAGACAGGGAATAAAAAGCACTCTTTCTTGCTTTTACTCCAGCTCAACACTCCCTTCGTCATTCCCAGCACATCAACATGCATCAAGCTCAACTGAAATAGCTGTTAGTTCTTTGTTAGAGGTATTGCAGTCTAGCGGTATTGATTGATAATAACAGTGGTATCTAAATATGAACGATTCACTGCCTTGAACTGCCTGATTAAGACTCCAGCCTACTGACAACTACCTGCACCTGCAACACTGTTATCCTGTTACTTACACTTCAACATCCACCAACATACCTGCTACTGACCCCAAATACGTACAAAGAGTAATAACCAATTTTTAAGTAAATTGGCTAAAGGTGCTGCTGACATGAAATTCTTACCAGATGTTTGTGATTGGGTACAATAGTATGACCACCAGGTCCTCCATTTGCTACCACAACAGCCCTGACCTGCTGAGGCATGGACTCCACTAGACTGATGGAGGTGTGCTGTAGTATCTGGCACCAAGATGTTACCAACATATCCTTTAAGTCCTGTAAGTTGTGAGGTGGATCGAACGTGTTTGTCCAGCACATCCCACAGATGCTTGGTTGGGCTGAGATCTAAGGAATTTGGAGGCCAAGCCAACACCTCAAACTTGTTGTGCTCCTCAAAACGTTTCTGAACCATTTTTGCTTTGTGGCAGGACAGATTATCCTGCTGCCATCAAGGAGTACTGTTTCTATGAAAGGGTGTGCACGGTCTGCAACAATGCTTCATCATTAGACTAGATTTTCTCCCATTCTTCTATGGTCCCGTTCTGATGCTCTGTGTATTCTGACACCTGTCAATTTGAACCATATTGAACAATTCCAGCTATGTGAGCTACAGTAGCTCGTCTGCTGGATCAGACCACACGGGCCAGCCTTTACTCAATGTGAATCAATGAGCCTTGGCTGCACATGATCCTGGCACAGGTTTACCACTGTTCCTTGCTTGGAACACTTCTGTTGCTGATCAGTGCCGACCAGGAACACCCCAGAGAGATGCAGTTTTGAAGATGCTCTGAACCAGTTATCTGGCCATCACAATTTGGTTTTTGCAAAACTCAATCAAACCCTTACGGTTGCCCTTTTTTCCTGCTTCTAACACATCAACTTCAACAACAAAATGTACACTTGCCCCCTAATATATTTTACTAATCAGTGTTATTCACTTCACCTGTTGGTATTTATTCCAACATATTTGCACTCTGCACCTATATATAAATATGCCACACATATTGTCTATTCGGTTATGTAAATTAAGAACAAAGAAAGCCCAATTCTTTGTATGTATGCTACACATACGTGGCCAATGAAGCTGATTCTGATCATGAAATCATGAATCATGTAGCAGTAATCTGATATTGTGACAGACTGAATTGCTTATATGTTTTTACAACTCTATGAAGAGAGCCAAGGAAAAAAAGTATGTTTTTGTTTTGCACTCTAAGCTCGTATGATTTGTTGTTTATGTGAGTATTGTAGCACTCTCCAAACACCTCATAGTGCGGAGGTAGATAAAAGTCAGAAAGGCTTTGAACAAAACCAGCTTTTGGTTATAAAAGTTAACTAAATCAATAAAGAAAGTTTCCGGCTGCTGGCCAATTCTTTTTGTTTTCTCTACTCAATCTGTTTGTACTTTGATTGTTTGAAGGAAAAAAAAAGATAATTCCAAGATAATTGTAGCCCTCTCTGAGCAAATTAGCTAGAGTTATGTTGGTTTTTAAATCCACTGGTAAAAAGCAGCTCCAGCAGCCTGGACGACTACTTGTGAAGACAGTGCCACACAGCTACGACTCAAATGCCTGTGCCACTTAGAGCTGGTGTTTGCTAAGGTTCAATAATTTATCAAAAATAAAACAAACCTCACATCAAGTGTCTGTCAAACATTTGAAAAACCTAGCTTTAAAAAGCTATCTGCACAAAGTCCAACGCTTTTACTTCGATTATAAGAGTCTTTTCCCTTAGATAATGCACAAAACCTCTCATTGTTCCAGCAGGAAACAGCTAGGCACTGTCAGGACGAAGTTTAGCTTTATTTGGAAAAAAACCTTCAGCAGTCCACCTGCTTGGCTGTCGGAGCCACCGTGACCCTTGCATGAAACATTTTCTTCCTTTGTCTCATTCTCCATACAGCATGGTGTAATAATGAGAAGCCAGCACAGTTCAGCTGAACACAGTTCAAGCCTGCAGCAAACGAGCTCAGCCTCCAAGAGCTGATTTCTCCCATCGATCGGCGGTGGTCATGCCTGTTGCGTTATGCAACAGAGCTGCTCCCATCTGGACCCGATGACCCATCCACTTAGGCATCCGTCTCCGTTAAACACTAACACACTTGAGCTCAGATCGGATCCCTTCATCTTTATAACAAGGGAAACATATTTCACTCTGGGTGTCATCAACATGAAGTGAGGGGAGGGGAAGGCCAGAAGCTTTAGTCGAACACTCTCATCTTTGTAACAACTTTTCTCTTTTTCTTGCGTTCGTTATGTGCCGCCCATATTGCAGCTCTCCTTCTTGATTTTTTCCAGCTAATTTACATTTTCTTTTTTTTTTAAATATCTTTTTTCTCCTCCCTCCAGCCCATTTGTGTCTGACAGTATCAGAAAAACTCATCTTCTCTCTGCCATGTCATTTTAAAACACCTACAGATGACTCATCTTCCCCTCTCACCTCCCCGTCTGCCTTACCTCTCCCCTCGTTTTCATCTTTATGGCACCTCTTCCTCTCCTTAATGACACAAGTTCCTTCATTAGCAAACTTTCTCCATGAGGAAATGAGGGTACTGAGGACATTTGGAGTGGGGTGGGGGGCAGAGAGCAGTTCTGCACCACCTGTTTCACCTGCAAGGCATCTGGAGTACTGCAGTCTGTTATAATGATCTCCAGAGCCCAGTCTGAGCTGAGAGGATAGACTCGAAAGCTCGGACACGGTATGGTTTGAGTTAGTGACCCGAGGTCTGCTTTAAGGGGGGGAGATTAGCATCATACTCGCCTTTGGAAGAGCAGAGAAAAAATAACAGAATGGAAAAATTCTCACTCCAAGTTTCCTCTTGTTTTTCTTTTCATATCATCCTCTTTCTCCATTTATTCTCTATCTTCATGTTTCACTCTTAACAGCGCCTCTGTTTCTTTCTCTGCTTTAAAAGCTCCCACCCATTCATGCCATATAAAATCAACTTTTGACCGCATTTATCACATACAACACGCAAAACTACTAAAAAAAGGTTGGCAGTCAGATGCGGCAGTGATTTCAAGTTAAGTTTCTAATAATGCTTGTTTTTCACAGGAATGAAATGGTCTCAAACAGAAAATCTTAACCATGAGGCCTCGGGGGTGTTTGTGTATTACTCAGTATTGGATGGAGAAATGCAAAATGCTTTTCTCTTATTCCCAACTTTATGGCTAAATAATCACCTGCTAATTTTAACCTCCCACAAAATGACAAAATGGATCCAAAAAGTTCTGCTACCCTAGCAATGAAGCTTATTTCAGCTCCCATATTCACAAAGGGTCATCACAGCAGATGGCTTTGCATATTTGATTTGGCAAATGTTTATGCCAGATTCCCATCCTGACATAACTGGGAGCCTTAGCTTATTTAAATTTGGGCAATCTCACCTTCAAGGTCTTCTCTTTGTGTGCCTCTGGACAGCTTCCAGCTTAGCTTCAAGGGATTTCTGTTCTGACAAACTGCACTTTGGCATCTGGGATTTTACCTTTGCAAAGTTAGCAACAAGTAACTTCTCTGTCAAACTGCCTGAAGTTTCACTGGTTATGATAGCTGGGTCTAGACCTACAATACAATTTCTTCAGGGGAAAAACAACTGTAGCTGTCTATCTATAATGCAGGAATTCTTCAACCACAGAAATACACTCTTCAGTTCTCACCTGCCCTTCTCATCATATCATTTGACAGCAGGAGATCCTGCAAGAATCAGGAATGCACAAGTGATCCAAGCAGGAATCAAAAACAGTTAAAGTGGTACAAAAGTGATAACTCTGAAGCATAGATAGGCTTAATTCAAATCATATATGGTTTTTTACATTTTAATTGGCAGAGATGCAGAACTTTTTGACCACACTTTGGTGTACCGACATGATCCTTCTGCATCTTAGAAAGACAGGAAATGTCTGTATTTTCAAAACGACTCCTTTACATAGTCAGGTCTATGAATATCTGGATGTCGCCTCCATTTTTTCACACCTCATTGAGAGTTCTAGTGAAGTAGGAATCTAAGTTTATTATGTGCTTAGATTGTCATGGATTAATGAGGGAGCAGACCTAACCCGGCCAATTGTCCAATTACTTTTTAGCCTGTGAAAATGGGGGACTGTGTATAAAAAATCCTTAAAAAGAACAAATCCAAAACAAACACTTTTTTTTAAGCCCTAAAGTCTGCACTTCAATCACATCTTGATTGTTTGATATCTTGACTCCACTGTGGTGGCAAAACTCAAAACATACTTCTGGACCTGAGCATACAGGCCCTTCTTCTACTCCAAAGTCATGTGGAGAAACAAAATGATCAAACCTAACTGTAAACTCCATCATTCAGCCTTCCAGAGCTTCAAGCAGAGGGGTCTTGGCCTCTGTATTTTTTACTTCCTTGTTACAACTGTAGAGACAATTTACAGCCACTGCAGCTTTGACCGCTGCTCTGACCTTAGGCCTGCAGAAAGGAAAGATAGATTCCCTCTTTAGGAAAAGACACACACACACACACACACACACACACACACACACACACACACACAGTTACCTGTGCAGACAGCTTTATAGACATTGGCTGTCCAGTTCCCAGAGCTCAGGCACACCGCCTTCCTGTTCCCCTGGAGACTGTAACCTGGACGACAGTTGAGGAGGCAAACAAAGCCTGGGGACACTGCTCTTCTCCCACAGGCAGGAGGGGACAGAAAGATGTTCTTCAGAGTCACGATGGGAGGGCAACGCACCTCTGGGTGGGTAAGATCAAGAGACAGATTATCAATCTGTTTCTTGTTTGTTATTAAAAGTAGCTGAAAAGATTTCCTTATAAAGATAAAACTGGGAAAACACTGAACAAAAGAGTGGAAAAAAAAATAGAGTTGGAAGATCTCGACCGTGTTTCCTGTGTGTTAACTGAATGTGATAAAATCTTCCTCTGAGCTGGCTCCACCATAAACGGCAACAATAAAGCTATTCTCGGCCGCTGTGTATCAAAAACTGGCACGGAAACGACAAACATTTGGTCGGAAATCAACTTAGGAAAGCGCTGACCGCTGGGCTCGTACACAAGAGGCCTTTCAAGCATTTCTGGAGGCCAGTGTGGCTTTTTTCTTAATGATGGATAGATCGTTTTCATTCTCTCCCTCGCCAAATCTCAGTTTCATTGGCTCTAGCTGTAGCTGCTTTGCAGGGAAAGCTCACTCCGAGAGATATTCGACATCGGGGATTACAATCGGATGAAAAAAATAAAATAAATCTATCTCAGCATCCTCTCAGGGGAGCCGAGCTGATCCTCTTTCACCACAGAGCAAGCAAACACTAAAACAAACCAACGGCAGCCCGCAGAGTCCTCTTAGTTGTGCTAAAGTCTGCAGGAAAATGCAGAGATGGCCAAACAAACAAGCAGCGGCTCACTCAGTGCAGAGATTGGAGTTACTGATAAAGGAACGGAGAGAGTTTCTCGGTAGCGGATGGCTCAGGCGTTTTTAAATAGTGCATCTAGCTGGTTGGTTGGAAGTGAGTCAGCACCGGCCGGAGATTTGTGGCCAAACGCTCTCACACTGTCCCTTTTTTGTGTGTTCGTGTGCATGACCTGGGTGCTCTCTGTGGTGGGCACGAGTGTGTGCGACTATTTTGACTTAACTATCAGTTTTGGAGTGTGTGGGTAATTTTGTGTTGTGTATATGTGGTAACTGTAGCTTTGCTGTGAGAAAGCAGATGTGTCTTGTGCCATGGCGGGTCTCTGCGCAAACACGCCCCATATGTTTAACCGCTGTATATGCGTGTTTACATACGCTTGTAAACTACACCGCTTTTTCATAGAAACCCAGATCGGGGACATTTGTTTGATAGATTGTCTTTGTGTTTTTTCAGCCAGACACGTTTCAGTAAGCAGAAGCAAAACAAATCATGTAAGCGCTCAGTTGAATGATAGTCATGCTGCAAGACATATTTACTGTCAGAGAGGACTGCTGTGTATCTGAGTGAAAGCAAGGCTGGGAAGATTTATTATGGAAAACAATGCTAATTCAATAACTGCATGAATAAATCGGATTTAACTCCACAGATGAGGGAATACTAAGACTTTGACTGAAGACATGGAAAGATGTCGCTGTAATAGATGAATTCTCTTGGATACGACGTGACGAGGGTTATTAAACTGGGAATTAATTATTTTTAGCCCAAAATGGGGAAAATACAGAATGTGCCACTTTGTTAAAGTCTTGGAATAAAACAGTTTGGTGCCAAAAACAAGACCACACAGTTCCTCGTGTGTCCATCACAAATACGCAGGTTTACACCCTGATAATAATACAAATTGACTCTTCGTGGCAGCTGGGGAGGAGTTTAATTTCTATAACTCACCTGCTTAAAATGTAATTAGACCTAAAGTTTACAACTAGCTGTCACCTCAGCTAATCTGAGTGCTTTCAGGCTATTTGACTTCTAAGTGGTGGATAGAAAAGCCAACACAAGGCTGCTCCTACATGCTGAAGGCTAATGTAGGAACTCGGGTTTGAGTCCATCCCAGACCAATCCCTGCACATCATTTCCAGCACTCTCACGCTACTGTTCAATTAAAGCTAAAAAAATCCAAATAATAACTCAAAGAACATAAATCACACATTTTTAGCTACCTGTAACACGTAGAGCTGATTTAAATAAATTGTATTTGTGTTCAAAGCTCTCTGTGGTTCAGCTTCATGATCTTTTGGCTTCACTTTTTGCCTCTGTGACTTCTCTCGGTGCCCAAATCAATGCTTTAGTTGTTATTGGGTTTTGACACTATTTATTTACAAGCTCAGCTCTGATAAAGTTGGGACGCTGTGTAAAATGTAAATAAAAACTGAATGCAAAGAGTTTTCTTTTCATTTTAAGATGTGACAACTTTTGATCATTAGTGTATTTGTATTGTTTGTACTGCCAGTGATCAAAAGTCTTCAAAGATTTACGCTAATGAATATTATTCTGAAATTATTGCACCATTTGTAAACACAGTTCTTTTGAATATTTCCTTCTCTAAGATGTTCTTTGTAATATCCAGTCACATTACTAACCTGTTAACAGTTAACCTAATTATTTGCAAGGTACTTTATGTCTTTTTAAATGGGTTAAAACTCACTTGATTTCACTGAACCAGACCTCTCGACCACACTTGATAACATTAACAGTATACTGCAAGTTTTAGCTGAAAACGTAGCACTACAGCACTGAAAAAACAAGATGCTGGCAGATGAATCAGTAAAGCCAAAGGTTCAAAAGCTCTCAATGCATCATCACAACCAGCTGTGGGGCATTTTTATTTTTTTATTCTTGCAGTGAATGTTGGAGTCATGTTTTGTAATCATATGTTGCTTTCAGATATGAGGTTTAGAAAAGTCACTGATATAGCAAAACGAGCAAATTAAACCCATGACCGCATGAAGCGGAGTTTCTCCATCTTACTAGGACACGGTGTGAGATAGTGGCTGACAGTGGAGTGAAAGCTTACCCACACACCGAGGTTGGGGCCCACTCCATTGGTAGTTTGCCTGGCAGGTGAGTTCGGAGTCTCCCTCTAATCTGTAGCCCCGATCACAGCCCACCTGACACACCACCCTGTAGGAGCCAAAGCTGTTGCTGCAACTCAGGAAGCCGTGCTTGGGCAGGGACAGGTGCGGGCAGGAGCGTACTGCAAAGATAGGAGAAAATAAACAGAAGAACCCAAACCAACAAAACAGAAAAACAAAATCTGCTTTATTTATTATCATATTCAGCTGGATCTGTATCTTCTGTTGCTTGGGTTTATTTTGCCACTTCTATCTATTTAATAGGATTTAATTTCCTGTTGAGACACAGAGGGAACGAAAGGTTCAGAAAAATAGGAAGTGTGGCCTCGAATAATGACAAACAGTGACAAACACTGTACATTTCAAGATAACTTAAACACAAAATATTTGGTTATTTTGTTTGCTGTAACTGTTAAACACCCACACCGTGCAGAGGAGGAGTAAACTGCAGGGATGTACAGCAGTATGTATTTGCTATAAACTGTGACCTATGATTTAACCCAAAGTGTGAAAGTCCCGAATGAAATAAACAAAGAAAATCCTGGTGTGTGTGTGTCTGTTCTGAGTTATGCTGAGGTCTAGAAAAGGGTGTGTAGTGTGTTATTTCTCATCACTATCCATAGACAGACAGGCAGTTCAGAGTAAACCCCCCGTCTCCCCCAGGGCTTAACTAGCTGGGAGGTCCAACAGTATGTGGTAAAGACTAGACTCAGAGTAACACATACAAGCAGACATATGCACACACACATAGGAAACATATACCCAAAGCCACATACTATAAATCTTCAACACACACCCTTTAGTATTCAGTGTCTTGGTATTTGTATGAGTCACGCTACTACTGCTGCTGCTGCCTTTCTGTTAAAACTGGCACTTTCCTCATTAATCCTTTGACCTTAGCTCTCTCTTCTCAGCTTTCTTTCCATTCTGCTTCCTTCCGTGCAATCTTCATCTTCTTTCTTCATCCATGAGCAACCTCTCTTTAATTGAATCCTCCCCTACCTTTCTTCCTCTCAACATCTGGCCTGGCAGAAAAGCAGTAGTTTCCCAGTAAACGTTGATTCCTCTTTCAGTCTAAACACATATGATCTCAATCTATGCCGAGAGAGCTTTACGTGCTAACACACACCGACTGTGACTTTTAGGAAACTCGAAGCAAATCAGTACAAGAGATCAAGACACGTCTTACATCTGGATGAAGTGATTTAGGGCTACAGAAATGTTTATAAATGCTGGCGGGCGTCAGAGGCGAGGCGAGGCGAGGCGATGCTTTGATTAGGGTTTAATGAGGAATTATATGAGATATGGTGTGGAAGAACCTGCTGTGATCAATCACAAAAGCTTCAGTGTTTCAGTGTAATAACTATGCACCCTGAGTACTGTATGATGAAATATGTAAAGCCCGTCAGACACATTTAGCTGCGACTATATCAGAGCAGCATTATACCACCATGCATTAACACTACAATCAATCAAGAAGCAGACTAATCAAAAAGCCTTAAATGATGAGAAGATCACTACAAAAATCTTTTTAATAGCCCATCTGACTTCGACATTCGACTACTGCCTCACTGTTTACTTTTCTTTTCAGTTTTTGAGATATGACGGGACATTAGGGTGCAGAGAAAAAGCTAGACTAAATACTGGCTGGGTGATATTTAAAATAAATCCACGAACGCACACACAAATGAACGCTGCAAAAAAGTACCGTACGTATATCATCGTGCCTGCTTTAAACGGGCATGTGTTTGTAATGGCATGGTGTTATATGTCAGTAATTTATTAAAGGCCTCTCACTTAAAGCTTAATAATATAACGGGAACCTATTACGCCTGCTTCCAGCTGCATATTTTTATTCTTGGACTCTAATAAAAAAAGGTCTGCATGAATCACAGTTCTTATGGCGCAGTCACACTAGAGCAAAAATATGACGGCCACCTCTGCGTGACTAAGAGTAAATCGGTGGCTCACCAGTGATGTTGTTACATTTTTTGCTCTCTGAGAATCTTTGCATATAGTTGCAGCAACCAACTGGTTACCCAGAAGCAGTTTGTGGAAACCCTCAAACTCAGGGCGGCTACTTTTGATGGCAAGGTGATTGCTCAGGTTGTCTGATGGGAGGCAACCTGCCTTCAAACAACTTCACTCTGACTCAAGGGGATTGTTGTCAGTCTGCACCAATGCGCACAACTCGCCTGTGATGCATCTCTTGGTATTGGAGTACTCAAGTCAGCTGGTTGTATTCTGGTCATATTCCTAAGAAAAGGAAAGTTGCTGACCGCCTACATCAATTTGCAGGTTAAATTGCCTCCCAGTCTGCAGTAACTACGACTCTATTTATGGAGGAATTTCTGATTTCGATCTGCAAGCTTTAGTTTTAGAATTGATGTGATCTGTTTGATTATTTCTGTGTATGTAGATCAGTTCTGGTGATTCTAAATTGCCCATAGACGAGTAGTCCAGGGTGTACCCTGCCTCTCGCCCTATGGCAGATAGGCTAGGCTCCATCCCCACCTCAACCCTGAACTGGATAAGAGGAAGAAAATGAATGATGGCTGGACGGCCAAAATGAGAAAAAAAACTGTGAAACTGAATATCTGAAGCCTGAACTTTTGGTTCACAGACATGTACTTGGGCACATATGACAGAAAAAAAGAAAAACCATTTAATCAATCAATCAGCCAATAGCTGTTTTAAAAGAAAGTTAAAAATCTTCTTAAATATGCTGATTTTCACAGCTGTGTATATTTCTCAGCTGAAAGTCTTGAGGGATTTTTCATCAACAAAAGTTTCATTGTGTGATGATCCTGTGATGATCATCATTGTAATATTACATGCATCAGGCTTTCTCCTCACCTCTGCAGCTGGCCGGTGTCCCTGACCAGGTGCCGTCAGCCTGGCAGAGTCTGATGCCGTCTCCCTGGAGGTCAAAACCGGGCTCACATCGCACACCACAGGCCGCGTCAAAGTGGTTGTTACATACATTCTGGACAAAGAAGCCATATTCTGGGGGCAACAGTGCTGGACAATGTATCACTGAGGAGAGGAGAGGAGAGGAGAGGAGAGGAGAGGAGAGGAGAGGAGGGTGAATTTTACATTACAGCTAACAAACAAACTGACACACTATGACAGAAAGTTGATTTTGTTGATAAAAACTGAATAAAAAAACAAGTAAGTAGGAAATGACAGCATATCAACCTTCAACACCCTATTTTCTCTTCCTGCCTGAGAAACTAGAAAGCAGTGCATGACTGTGGTGATTAATGGAGCTCAATGTGTTCAGATGAACTGCTGTTTGGAAATCACTGGCTCCTTCTTCGAGGAATGGGAGGACTGGCAAAATTACTGGATACATGATGCTGTCATCCAATACCTCTGAGGAATATCTTGTTTTTTTTGTTCCAGTTAATTCACCAGATTATCACTTATCACCACTATTCCTGAAAGTGATTACAGGCCACAAATTCCTACTTCACGAAACATATTTCTCTGTTATGTTTAATATGTTATGTCTGTCATGTTTATACACGTTTTAAAATGTGTGTTACAAATCACCACACGGCTGGAGCACTGCTCGTCTCCACTAACTTAGATGTTGGGGACAGAATGAGAGCAGGCTAGGACGCTCAAAAGACTTTCAACCTAAAGAGTTTTTGTCCTGAATACAGTTAGAAAGATGTTTCATGTCTCAACTGAACGGTTTCCTCAGTTTTAATAGCTGTTGGAAAGCTCCAGGTATTTAACCTCTAACGACTGCAGCTCAGTACCTGTGAAGTGGCTGTTTGTTGTCCTATATGCAGGAGACAAGTATAGGAGACTTAAACAGAGGAGAGGAAAAGATACAAGGAGGCAAAGTGGGAAACAGCAGGACACTTGTTGGAAAACTATGGAAGCTTGTTTTCGACCACAAATTTCAAGTTTGTTTTTTTTATTATTATTTTAACTTCCCCCTGTCAGAATTATTGTATTTTTAATTTTTAAAAAGGCAGAAAAAGGCTTCCATAGGAAAATGGGTTGGCTAATATGGGAAAAAACTGATAAGAACATCGGGAGGACAAACAGATGATCTGAAAAAATGCAGGAATGAGACACAGGCAGAGGAATAAAAACAGGAAGTAAACCAACAATAAAAAGTCCCACTGGAACATGAAAAGTAATTAAAGCATGATGCAGAGAGAGGAGAACACAGAAGGCTCAGGATGACCTTTTATTAAAAAAACATACACAACAACTCATACAAAACTCATACACAACACAGGCTTCATGATACCTAGTTTGTAGACAAATAAGATAGGATAGACTTTGTCCCTGAGAGCCTATTCATCCTCTGCACCAAGGGATCAGATCAAATCTTTTAGATGAAACCTGGTGCGATCACAGTGGGGTTCGAACCCTCCAATATCCCCTTGTGATGCTTTGAAACAAACAGATAAATGTTTTGCCTTCTTGATTTTGAAGCTTCACTCACACACACAACTTACTGCAGTTTTATATTGTATCATTAAAGCTCAGTGAATCTATCATAATCTGTGGTTCACCTATGCAGATTAAGCAAAACATTCAAAACACTTGTAATGCAAGAATATTAAAATAATAGATGGTCTTGTAATAGAAGCTCTGGTTCAGGTGGGCTGAACAGGAAGAGTGCAAGTGGGGATTTTTGCATGTGAATGTTTTTGCTCATGCAAAGAGCTTAATTAAAAACACTGTTCTTAAAGCTAGAAAACACTAAAAACACTGTGTAACTCTCAATATTCAGATCAGCAACACTAAAATATTAAAGCTTTTAGAAAGGCAACACAGAAGAGACCATCATCCTGTTTCACACGTATCCACTTGCTTATTTAACGCATTGGATGCTTTTACCTTGGCAGGTCATGCCCATTGGCTTATAGCCCGGCTTGCAGACACAGTCGTCGGGGGAGGTGCTGCCAGGCTGGGAGGTGTGCTGGGCATCAGGGCAGGGCAGGCAGGTGCTCACACCTCCCGGTGTTCCTTCTGGTTTATAAGTTCCAGGTGGGCATGCTGTTAAGATGAGAGATACTGCAGTTAAAAAAACAAATCCTTTCTTAATTTAAACACAAGTAAGACACAAAGAGACATCTGGTAGGAAAAGCTGGACGACGGGCGTGTACAAAATGAAAGTTTTGCTGAAATGAAAAACTGTCTGACGACTGCAAGACATCGAAAAGCTTCACGGACAGAAGTGAAAAACAGCTTCGCAGATTTATGAGCAGACTTTAATCATTTTCATGTCTGGACATGTAGCAGTGGAAAATCTGGCAAATATGATAAAATGATTCTTCTGGCAAGGTAAAAAAGAAGAGTCCAGCTCAAAGTTAATTATTCCAGGCAGGGAAAACTGTTTTGTGGCACTGAGCACCATCTTCATTACAAAGAAATGCAACAATCAAAGAAAGCTTTATGAGCATCTAAACCCAGTTATGCACATGGGAAACATTAGAAAATCCTTTTTGATCACCTGCGCTCTTTCATAGGATGCAGTGTGTTTCCTATTAGCATCACCTGAGTCGGATCAGGTCACAGCACGCTGTGAGGCTGAATGGGGAGGAGGAGGTGGGGTCGAATGAACTTCTTTAAACCTTCTTTTATTCATAGATCAACTTCTGAAAACGGGTGCAGTGAAAATGAATCAAAATAAAGCTACTTTCTCATTTGGGTTGTAATAAAGAGCAGATTATCTGATTAATGACATAATTCACTGTAATGTTTGAAGTGATGTAATCTGCAATGACCTCATAAGTCTCTGATGTTTAACTGCTTGGAATTACCTCTAAAAATCAGATTATGATTATTTGAATTACGCTGTTACTGGGGACAAGGGCTCTTACCAGTTGTTATCTGGGTACTTTCTCACAAACGATTATTTGAGCCAGCAATTCCCATAATTCACTGTGATTACTGGTGTATTTTGCAGTAGACCAAATGAAATGTTTTGTTTTTGTTCCTCTGTATCCACTGTGATGGAAGCTGTAGTCATATGATCCTTGAAGATCTTTTCAGTTATTTAAGATTGCACACAATTTACCATCAGTCCTCTGGTAGTCAGGAAAACACTCCCAGGATTAACTGCAGAAGTAACACTAACTAACTCTTGTAAAATGGAACCTAGTGTTAGAGCAGGTAGACCTTGAAGTCGGGCTCAGCCACAGTCTCACGGATCAGCTGATCTCAGTGCCAGACCACATTAGCTGATGGCTCATCCTTCTCTACATCAGAACAGCAAATCTCTTACAGCGCACAGATCTAGTTGGTTTATTACCATTAATCCTAACCCTACACTACAACAATATAAATGTTTGCTCTTAAAAAAAGATCTCTGACATCTCGACAACAAGCTGACAAAAAAGTAACTGAAATGCTTCAAAAACTCTTTATATTTTTAAGAAAAGATCGAAATATTTTTGAGTTGTCAGTCTCCAAACCACAAGGTTAGGGGGAAAACACAGATGATTATTTCCCTCATGGTTACATCACTGCTCCCAAATTGTCTGCTTAATATCTGAAGCACTAATTTTAACCTGAATAATTTTATTTTATCAGATTCTTAATAAATATATTTAAAACAATACCGTCATGTCATGTGCTGGTTTCATATCAAATATGTGTTGAGACAGAGGTTCAGTGATTGGTCGGCAACCATCAGTTGCTAGGGAAAAAATGTGTCCCAGACTGGTTGGCAAGTGGTTTTGGAAGGTTGCTGCACTGAAAAGCTCCTTGTGTTAGCTTTGGTCCCCAGCAGTTCACCTGTAGTTTGTAACACCAACTTGGACTTCCCAACCTTTGCCAATTACTCGCTAAGCGGCAGTAAAGATGTGAAGAGTGTGATCTTGAAACGAAGACCATTCACTTTCAGAGTAAAAGCTGTACTTTTGACAAGTATTGGCAATAATAAGACACAGGTTTCACTTTGGAGGTGAACGCTCTCCTTTTCCGGTATGCATGGCTCCGTTTCAAGTGTCACTACCGCTCAGTGTTACTTAGCCAGTGTTTTCAGACAATTTTCGCATCTACACAAATTATGGGTGATTACGGCAATCTGGTAGCAACTAAAGCAATGACTAGGAGGCTTATGATGCACCACTCTCTTTGCGACTGACTTCACCCAGCAACCACTCGCCATCTAGTTGGAGAAGACCGTCCCCTAGCACTGACTCACCTCTGGGCCTGTGTAAATAAGGACTACAGCGGTCCTGACTAAACTATGATCATCCCCACATAATCACACCCACATTTCCAGGAATTACGTATGACTTATGAACAACTCTTAGTGTTTAAGTGAGATTGCGGTTACCAGCTGAAAGAGTCGCAAAGATTCATATCGAGAAAGGACCAAATTATTGGAGTTAATTTGTTAATATAACAGTTGTCATTTCATTCATGGCTGCTGCACCGTTACAAACGTCACAGTCTATTCAAGCGCTTCCAAAAGTTGTTTGCATTAATTGGAAAAACAAATCCACAACACTGACGACAGCCAAATCACAACAGGCTCCAGAGAGGAGGGAGTTTCAGACGGTTTAATTTGGTGCCATGTGTTTAAAACGAGAAAAATCATAAAGTCTCTAGATCCACACCCACACACATCGTTTAAACACGTTTAATACATTTTTTAAAAGTACATCCACGTGGGATATCTGATGGGATTGAAAACCCTTTAATGTTAGTACCGAGACTAATTATGAGCTTTAGTACTATTTTAAATAGAAATGACAGCAGTGGGAGCAGTAAAGAGGTCTCCGGCTTTGTTAAAGAGAGACATTTAGCGAGCAGGTTTAATTATAAAGTGCAACAGAGAATCGACAGTACTAATATTCTTCACAACTCATTTACTCGCTGCTAAGCCAGAGGCCAGGTGTGACTTTCCACTGCTGAGTCAGTGCCAGCCTGGCCTGTCCCGACACTCGCTCCCTCCTCCTCGGCTGCTGCAGGTCAGCCAGGAGATGTTAACCGACTGTAAAGCAGGCACCGGCTGCTGGCACTGAAACGCACCCAGTAACCCACATCAAAACACACACACTCAAAGAAAAACCATGTGGCATACCTGCCCTGGTGCAGACAGTATGGGTCTGCTGCTCTCGCTTGATAACAAAAGCAGCTGATGCGTCTTCTCCTCGGTGTGTTTTTGAAACTCCGAGGAGGCATCTTACATAAGACGTAACGACAGCTGAAAGTGTCCTCTCTGTGCGAGTCCTCGGGAATCTGTTTTACGGCTTCATTTAAGGTTTACAGGAAGCCTAGTTAGTTTTAATGTGAATAATAATTCACCCAGTGTGCAACAGTGGAAATACTGTATCTGAAAAATATAAAATTTCAGTTCCTGGCAGGATGCATGTGCTGGCAGGTAGAAATGCAGACACATACATGATGACTGTACACACACACACACACACACACACACACACACACACACACACACACACACAGTGTATAAGAAGCCCAAACTTAGCTTCTGGCTTTTAAAATTGGGATGAAGGAGAGAGGGATAGACAGGAAAGGATATATGATGAAAGAACAAGCAGCTGTGACTCCTAAATAAAATGCTTTAAAAATGGAAAGTTAACACACAGAAAACTTTGCGAACTTCCTTTAAAATGCTTCAGAGCTCCAAAAGGCAGACTCCATATGGATACTAATTGTATTTGGATCCTGCTGAATTGCACATCTCATTTTGGGTCCGTCTGCTTATTGCCTATGGCTGTGAAGTAAACTCTGGTGCACTGTACCCTTCATTTAGAGAGGAAGTGAACCGTCAGCAGCCAGATGACCATGAAACAGAAAGATCCCGCTGTGTTGGGACTGGGCTGTAACCATGTGGAGGGACGGCAGCTGGTCAAAGAAAACTACTGTACCCAGTAATGATCTAAGGAAGGAGAAGAGACGGTCTCTGATCTGAAGCTGCTTATTTGAAGTTAGAGCAATGTTTGACTAATAATGAAGAGAAATACCCAGTAATAATATATGCATTTAAAACGAGCAGCTGTCTAAGTCTAATGGTGTCATGGTGCACAAGGGAGAAATATTACTTTAATAAAGGACGTTGTGAGACAGCCAAACACATTACAAGAAAACAGGGAGATAAGATAAAGAGCCTTTATCGAAATGGATGCGTGTTTTCCCAACGAGACGCGTCTCCTTTATCTTTCTGTAAAGTGGAGGCCGACTTTGATTCTCTCAGCCACTGACGTGACCTGTCTGCTCAACCCAAAACTAAACAAAAACTATGAGTAGACCAGCGATGAACTGATTCTACAACTGTACCGAAAACTAAAGTCATAGACCTCAATGTTTATAAAAGGATTTAAACACATCTGTTTTAGGTCAATTCTACTTCCACAATCCTGTTGTAGTAAAAATTCACTAGAGCAACGAAAGTGTGTTAAATAAGCTGCAACCTCTGGGGCAGAGACATGAATCCAGCGCAAAAGAGCAGTTCCTCCAAAGGCCAAAAAACAAGACCTTCATGTTAAACCACAAACAGTATAAAAGAATGAACAGAGATGCTGTGACATCATCGATTGGTTTCTGAAGGCCTGTTTTGATGCATCACGATCAGCGTATTCACTGTTGATTCATTTTGAAAGAATGTGGTGAGGCGGGGCAAATCTGACTGTAAAACCGCTTGTTCAATGGCCAGCCACTTTTCAATTCAAGTGGTCAGAGAGTAACTATCATGGGTACAGGATAGCTCTCCTTTTTGAAACATGGCATGACCAGGACTCATTAAAAAAAAACACAATCCAGCAGGAAACTCAGCCGACAGTGTTTACAGAAGTCAGAAAACCGTTAACCCCTGGACCTCTCTACGACTGGAAGTCTTTCTGCAATTAGCAGACGGTATAAAACATGGGCAAAGCTTCCAGATCAGAAAATTAAGCCAGTGCAGAAGTGCCTTCAACCTGCCTTCTATCTAAAGGTTTTAAGATCTTATGGTATCTGTGGAAAAGCACTTCCAGTCCTATTGAGGTTTCATAGACATATGACAACTAACCACTTGTTGTTAA